TAAGTGAGTTCACACAAGTTCAATTTAAGTATTCATACGGACACCTTCTTTCCAACTAGTAGAATGTGGGTGTGCATGAAAAAAACCAAATTCATAGATTTTCACATCCACACCCTTTCATTTCGAAGTTTTTACAATTTTTTCTTTCGACAATTTCACAATAGAGCACTAATATTTTATCATTTTGGAGAGAAAAATGAAAAGCAGTCATTGACGATATTTGTATAGTATTCGTTCATTGATTTGTTCAATTCTTTTGAGACCACAACTAGCTATATCATACATCAATTCCTATTTTAATAAATTAAGTAGGGCTTCCACACCATTATGGCCTCCGTATGCCAGACCATACAAAATAGGACGGCCAACAAGAACACCTTTAGCACCCAAAGCTAAACATTTCAAAACATCTGTTCCAGTTCGTATGCCACTATCAACAAATACTTCACAACGACCATTAACAAATCCTACAATATCTTTCAAACATTCAATTGCTGATAGTCCACTATCCACCTGACGGCCATGATGATTACTATGAAGAAATGTTATTATAGTTTTAGGGCTAAAACTAAACTTGGACTTACCTGACCACAATTCCATCGGCACCATATTCTAAAGCTAATTTTGCATCGCCTACAGATAAAAAACCTTTACAAATTATGGGCAATTTTGTTAACGTTCTTAACCATTGAAATTCCTTCCATGTGGGTGTGGATGTGGGTATGAGGAGAAGGACTCCCGCATACACACCTACACCCACCCACACTCACACACCCACACTCACACCCTGAATAATCCGGGTCAAAATGTTTCTCTTTCTGAAAACTTCCAAGACGTCGAACATTTCATTTTAAGCGCATTTGATAGAAGCTTTTTCGCGTCACAAAGTTGTTGAATTTGTATTTCAAATAAACTTTTGTTCTCACGAAAAACTGAACAAAATAGCAAATATTCAATTGCCTAACTGTGATCGTCTATTGTTTTCTTCGAACATTCATCGATTTGTATAGCTCTATGCTTATCAAGTTCTGTGCTTTGAAACTCTTCTCAAAGCTTTTGATGAGGATGGAACGGAGTAAAAGACTTAGAATTAAAACTTGACAGGACTGAGTTCATAATTTAATTCTGAACAAAATGATGTAACATATGTATAGCAAAGAAAAACAAACTTTTAGATAGTCCCGCATTGAAAATAAACAATACTAGAGGCTTCATAGCAGGTATGGAGAATCTACCCATAAATTGCAGCGACACTGCCGGGAAAAATGGACCTTTCGGAGAAATTTAGAAACATTTTTACTCATGTGTATTTAAAACCTCAATAAACTTTTTCAGTTTGCTCTGCGTGCTGCTAGGAAGATTCTGCAGGTCTACTTTATAGAAGAGACTTTTGCATTGGTTTTTAAATTTTGCTTAAAAAATTGTTCTTTCAAATGTTTTTTTTTAAATTTCAAAACACCATAGATGTGACCTGTCATTTAGGTACATAAAATTTCGTCCCATATAATTCGACTTATTCGCATTTCATCTAATAACTTGCTAACCAGGGAACATTAATAACTGTACTTTATAATCAATTATCGATATTTATAAATATAGATCAATTAATTCTATGATATCAGGAAACATTCAATGTCGATTTCGATGTTTGTTGTTTTTGAAGACTTGATCTATTAAGATTATCTGCTTTTTTGTGCTTAATGCCACTGCATTTACTTGTGTTTTTTCGCTTGCTTTTGCTAGCTGTTTTCTTCTTCTGAATGACTCTTCCAAAAGTATATTAGAATTGATATCAATTTATCAGCAACTATTGGGACTTATTTTTTCTGGATTTATTCGATTTTTTTACATATGTCCGTATATAATTTTGGGATAAATCTTATTTTAATACAATCTCTTACTACATGTACAAATACCTGCAGTGAGAGTGCACTGAAATATTGGCACAACTCAGTCCATATATACATCTTCGTGGTGCAGATGCACCAAAATACTAATACACATTAAAAAATGTAATAAATTCTCACAAAATAAAGAAGTTTCTGGATGCTCTCTAGTATCTTTTCTAAAAGTCTATATTGCTATTCTTAAAAAGACAGAAATTGTAAAATCAGACTTTGAATGAAGATATTTTTGGAAATAATGGTAGGAAACTATCATGTCGTTATTTTGAAAGTTTATGAGTTTTGCATGAAATCACTATAATAGTAATACACTTCTGGAAGAATCATTGGCCTTCTATGTACTGTGCTTGTTTTCTTTGTAGCTGTAGTGTATCAGCTGAAACATTGTGTTTCATATTAGAAAACATGTTTATTTTTGTTTTAGTTGCTGCTTTTGCTTTACAAACAGCTGTTCTCACCGGTATCTTGTCTGCCGAATAGAAGCTGTTCATATGTCACGTCGTTACTTTTTGCAAAAAAGGAAATCGATTTGATGAAAAAAATGTTTATTCTCGATTTATTGTTTTAAGAAATGAAAAATATCATCTATTCATTCTCTAATGTCATAATAATGCGCTTATTATTATCAGCAGAAAACTTAATTTGTAACAAAAAGAAACAAGAATTCTTCAATTGAAATATTTGATTATCAATAGGAATGGAAGGACATTTTATTGATTGTCCTTCTCATGCAAAATATATTCTAAAAAAGGAATTTTTACCAAATTCTCTATCAGTTAACAAAATGAAATTTTTGGATAGATATAAAAGCATTTATTCAAGATGATTAAATCCTATATTGTTTTTCTATAGTAGATAAATCTTTGGGGTGTGGGTGTGGGTGCGAGTGTGGCTCTTCTAATTTATCTACACCCACACTCACACCCTCTACCCAGACCTATGATTAAATGTAAAAACAAAAATTGATTGAAATTTCATCAAAAATTAGTAATCATAAAAACTAAACGATAGATAAACAGGACACATAGCTCACATGACATAATCACGAAAAAAGGAAAGGAAAAAGAAATATGAATCTAGAGTATCTCTTTATCTCTATATATAAATAGAAATATATATCGATTTTTTTTTCAATCGACAAACATTTTTCAAAACAAAGTAAAAACAAAGAACAATAAATAAATAAATAAATTTTATATTGTGAATTCATACTGTTATATCATTTTCTAATTTTCTTTGTGTTATTTTAGAATCTTCTCTCCATTTTATATATTCATCCTTCAGACTATTTATTATTTGTTGTTTTGATCGTGTCTAATAAAAATTTATTAAAAGTATATATAAATTAAAAGAAAAGAAAATACTGTACCAGTAATGTTTGAATATTTAATAGAGAATAAAATGACAAACGATTGTTTTCATATTTCGAACAACTAAAGAAAGAATAAAATAAATTTTAAAAAAATTCATGTTTTCTTCTATCTTACTTTGTTGATGCCATGTTCGCCATATAACATTATTCAAACGAATTTTATGTTGACAATCAATATGTGATCCACGAAAATTTTTCCATTTTGGTGATATTAAATTTGAACTAAATTGAAACACAAAAAAAAGAACAATAATTTTTAACTAAATAAACTATATGTTGTATTAATAACATGTAGAAAAGAAATTAGACTAGGAAATTGACCATTAAATCCTGTACGTCGTTCTGTTTCAGCTTGTGCTGTATCATTAATAATAGGTAAACCTTGTGATGCTAATGGTTCACATGCATTTGAAATTGGTGATGGACATGGTACATCAAATGGCTATTAATGAAAATAAATAAATAAAAAAAATCATCAATTATAAACTAAAGAAAATCTTTTTTACTTTATTATCATTATCAATACTTGATATCATAAATTGTCCTGAATAAAGAGGGTGTTTAGCCTTTTCTCGACGATCATTTGAACGTGCACTAGCTTCAACTTTCATTCTTTTTGACGATCAAGACATTTGAACATAAAATACAAATACAAAACCGTTTTTCTTTTATATACCAAATAAACAAATATATCAAGAATAGCTTCCTTCGAAAACTACGTAGATTATCATTAGGGATGCACCAGTTCCAATCCCGATTGGATTCCAGTCCGACTGTGTGGCGATCTGACTGGGTTCCAGTCAGGACTGGAACTGGTGCATCCCTAATTATCATAAGATTTTAAAAGAACGATTGAAGCGACACTAATCGTTCGCTTTCTAATGGTTGTTTTATTGATCCAATTGGTCTTTTGTCTCAATAGAAATTATTATGCATATTTCAATGTCATTATAACGTCACGTTAGAGACTATATGATTCGTTAACGATGTTTCAATTGGACGATGTCATGTCATTGATCTTTCATTTTTTCAACGAGTTCGTCTATTCTATATTCCACAATGACGAAAGCTGTTATAAACAAACAATGGATATATATATATACCTTTATGTTTTGAGTTATCATATAGTCAGAGTAAAATATGAGTCGATCGAATGTTAATCTATTGGATTTACCTGACGAGATATTACTTGTTATTTTGAAAAAACTGAATAATATTGATGTTCTTTATTCATTTATCGACATTAATAATGAACATTTGAACAGTCTAGCATATGAAAAAATCTTCAGTGATACTCTCAATTTCGTATCCATCGATAATGTTTCTGCAATTGATCAAGAGAAACTTGATCGATTTTGCAAGGATATATTGCCAAAAATTCATGAAAATGTCAAATGTTTTATTCTTGAACCAATTTCAATGGAATGTATTCTTCATGCTGCTGATTATCGAAATCTAACTGAACTTAAACTTTTTAATTTCACGCAAGAAGTCGTTTTAAATTATTTTACAAGTAAGAAAAATAACAGAAGAATGGTGTTAAATAGAGCAGACTATTGAGTGATTTATTATTTCTTATTTAGATCAATCATCTATTCGATATATCTTTCAAGAAAAAATTACAAATCTTATTATTGCAAATAATGACAAACGCATGGGGAGTAAATCATTGGGAAACTATAGTAAAAATGTATATGAAGAGATTTTAAAATTCTTCAAAAGTTTAAAACATTTGAGTATTATTGAAACATTCAATCCTTTTTATCCACCTTTATCACTATGTCATTCACCATCAACTATTTTTTTCTCTTCAACTCTTACTCATATATGTATCAAAGTATCCACATTAGATGATTGTTTTTATTTACTTGAT